ACTCACTCCAGAGACATTCTCTGAGACAGGGAAGATTCAGATACAGATTGGAGAGAAGGGCAGAAGACACACTCCAGAGACATTCTCCGAGGAGATTCAAGGAAGAGAGAGGAATAAGACTCCAGAGAAGTTCTCCAAGACAGAGATACAGGGAAGAGCGGAAGACTCCCTCCAGAACAGAGACGGGGCGGGGTACGTTTCTGGACTCCCTCTGGTGGTGTAGACGTCAGGGTCCAGAACGTGTAGACAGACAGAGATTCCCATCCCGCAGCCGAGTCGTTTCCGAGCGCCAAGCCCTCCTCCTCGCTCCGGCCCCCCACCCCCCACCCCCCCCCGCTGTCGCCCCGTCTCGGCCGCCCGCCCGCCCGCCGCCTACCTGTAGCACCAGCGGCTCCGGGTTGAAGGCGAGCGTGAGCAGCAGCTGCATCCGCTCCGAGTCCTTCAGGTTGCGGAGCAGGAAGCTGCCCGAGTCCTTGGTCTCGGCGTAGCGGCGCACCAGGCGGTCGAGCAGGCGCTGCGAGGGGCAGTGCACCAGGTCGGACCAGCCCTCCACGGCGTCGGGCGTGAGCAGCCGCACGTCGCCGTTGAGGCGGGCGAACTCCGTCTTGGGCATGGCCTGGAGCAGGTCGCAGCGCGGGCGGCCCGTGGCCCGCTTGCAGATGCTCTGGTCGAGCTGCGCCAGCTCGCGCTGCGAGCCCAGGCGCTTGAGCACGACGCGGCGGCGGCCGCCCTCGCGGGGCTCGCCGTACTGCCCGAAGTACACGTTCTTCACGTTGAGGAAGTCCAGCAGGCGCAGGCGACCCCACGCCTCGAAAGCCACCTGCCCGTTGAGGAAGCGGCGGCACCAGCTCGTGCCGAAGCACGCCGGGCACTTATTGAGCTGCAGGAAGCGCCGGTCCGCCAGCTCGTTGCGCTGCCAGGACGCCAGCAGCGACGGCGAGTGCAGCACCATCAGCACCAACAGGCTGCCGAGCGCCACCAGCTTCAGCGAGCGGGACAGGCGGCCCAGCTTCGGGGGCACCAGGCGCCACATCCCGCCCGGGGGCCGCCGGCGCCCCCCCCAGCCCCGCCCCGGGGGGAGGGACCCCCCGCTGAGCCCGCAAGCCCGACCCGACCGGGAGGGACGGAGGGAGAAAAGGAAGGCGGGCGGGCGGGCGGGCGGCCGCGCGTGTGTGTAGAGAGCGGGGAGAGACCCGGGGAGTGCGCGAGAGAGACCGGAGTGTGGCGGGGAAGGAAAGAGAAAGGAACCAGCGCCGGCTCCTTCTCCTCCCCCTGGCCACTTGTCCCCACCAACTACTCTATCTCTTTCTGTCTCTCTCCCTCCCCCTGTGTCTCCCTGCCCTCCGCCGGGTCCGACTCCAGCGTCGCCTCCTCCACACCAGCCAAGTTATAGAGGAGCCGGGGGGGGGGGGAGGAGGGAGAGCGGGGGAACGGGGAACGGACGGCCGGGAGCGCGCGCGCGTGCGCGCCGCATACTGGGGGAGCGCGGGGCCCGCGATGGAGAGGAGAGAGAGAAAGAGGTAGACCGCCTCCTGCTGGAGACTGGACGGAAGGGAGGAGGAGGGGCTCGGGAGGAGGAGGGGCTCTGGAGCCCGCGAGACGGGCCGCCAGCCGCCCCAGCTGCCACACACTTTCTCTACACGCGGGGCGGGGGAGGGAGGTTCCTCCCCTCCCTTGTGTGAAGAGGGCGGAGACGGCGTGACGGGGCGGGGCTAGGCGGACGAATCGCATGCCGCCCCGGGGAGCGTGCGCGCGCTCTTCGAGAGGGGTGGCTTCGAACGGACGTCTGGGAGTGGGCGGGGCGCCACCTTAGCTGGAGGAGGAGGCGGAGGAGGAGGCGGCGGGGCGGGGATGGCGACCTCCTGGGAAAGGGGAGAGCTGGCTGGAGGTGGCATTGTTAAGATGCTGCGGAGAGCGGCCGCCCTGGGTTCGATCGTCGCAGGGAACGAGAGAGGCTCAGGGAAGGGTGGGCGTTGTTTAAGCTGCTGGATTTTCGAGGAGGCGGGGCGTGGGCTTTCTGGGACCGCGAGGGGCGTGCTCCGGGAGGTGGCGTGGCCAACGTGGTGGTTTTTTCGTAGAAGGGGGAAGAGAGGGGGAATGGCATTTTACAAATAAGGTTGCTTTTCCTCCTAGGAGATGTGAGTTCACGTGGAAGAACCAGCTGCAGCTGCCAGTCCTCCGTGGGCTGAGTTGAGCGGGCTCTGCCAGAGAAAAGGAAGGTGGGCGGGGCGCTTTGATAACGCCCCCCTGTGCCCTTATAAGGACCCCGGGCACGCGCCTCGGAGGCGAGGAGAAGAGGAGGGGTTAGCCCTTCCCCGCGGAGGGGGGTGCGCGCTGGCGGGGGGAGGAGCCAGCGCCGCGGGAAAGGTGGGAGCTCGGGCTCGTCCCAATCCGCGGTGGACTGCTGAGCCGGAGCTGGAGCCGGGGGCGGCCAAGTCCTCCCTCCGAGGCGGTTCCCTGTGGCGTCTCTTTTGAGTTCCCAGACTGGGCTGTGAGCGGGAACGAAGCCCTCCAGACTCGGACCGCGCCCGCGCCCGCAGGGTGACTGGTTTGCCCGCTGCACCCTGCGGTCACAGCGCGGGTCGGGCCCCGGCTCGCTCCTCGGAGCCCGAGGCTCGGAGGCTCAGCGGCTCAGCCCCGGGCGCCCGGGCTCCAAAGCCAGAGCACATTCCCAGGACCCACCCGGGGTGATGGTGGGTCTGGAGAAGGAGGAGGCTCTGAGGAGTTATGAAATAGGGGCGGAGAGAGAAGTCACCGCAGAACGGGGGCCGGGGGAACGCCTTCGGCTGGGGCTGCTTCAGCGAGTCGTAGTGACCTGGAGTACTCGGCTCACTCTTCTGCCTTGCTGATGTGACACCTTCCTCCTCTTCCTCCTCTAGCTCTCCTCTGTTAGAGAAAAGCAGAGAGCCTTCCTCCGGGGAACTCCTGTTTCTCCTGGGCCTAGGAACTGAAGTCAAACTTTAGGGGGGAAATCGAGTGATGCATTTGAAGTAACGTGACTTTCATCTGCAGCTGAACAAATTGTCAGAACTGCTGTTTCTATTAACGTCGAAGCTGATACTTTGACTGAGCCTTTTGTTATCCTAGGGCAACCTAGGTAGTCGGTTTGGGTGCTAATGGTGGTGACTTCCACAAATAATTTGAGTGCAATTCCACTTCACTGATCAACAGAATTCTATTTAGTGCATAGCATGACCAAGTAAGTGTATGATCTGGTGTAAAGAATTTGGGGGCCTAGAAGTAAGGAAAACAGGTTTTAGGATCTCTTCTGCAAGAAACTCGATGTATGAATAGAGAAGTCACTTACTCTGACAAATGAATAGGTTCTAATAAAGAGTAGTTCATGTAATGCCATCTTATGTTTATAGGGCCCTTGCATCACAGCCCTCTTAAAAGGGAGCTGAAGAACTCTTACCTTTTAAAGAAGAAAGATTACAGACACTAAATTAGTTTGCCCAAGGTCTCAGGACTAGCAAGTGTTAGAGCTAGAACTTAGAGTTAGGTCTTCTGCTTGGCAGTCTATTGCTGTTTTCGAGTAAAATCTTGTAAAAGTTAAAGGTACTATGCAGTGATACATTTTCTTATTAGAAAAAAGAAAGAAAGAAAATTGTTACTATGTTGACCCAAGGGTGTGTGTGTGTTTTATTTCTATTTTGGAGTATAGTCACAGCATAGCTTAGGAGTTAGTGTTGAACAAACTGGATCTAACACACTGTTTTGGTTCAGGGTGAGATAAAACATTTTCAAATCTCTTTTAGTTCCCTACTTTACAAAACATTCTTAAAGGCATACAGTTAGTATTCCTTACTCTAGATGAACGGGAGCAGTACTGCTTTTTCCATCCCCTTTGTACTCCATGTAAAATTGACAACTTCACTTTTTTCTTTTAAAGTTTGCTTTCCAATTCTTAATATTTGTTGTCATCCCCTTGGTTGTTGAGCCCCATTTCTGGATGGCAAATTAAGGGTTACTTAGTGACTAGAATGAAAAGATATACTCTACACAGTTTCACAGAATCTTAGAATTGGAAAGGATCTCACAGGCAGGAAAGCCTTTTAAACACACCGCATGCATACTCAACAAGTGTTTGAGTGTTTGCTTGAAGACTGTCAGACATGGAGAACCTACTCCCGCTCCAAGACTCCTTTTACTCTTCTAAGTTACTCTGATTTACCAGACCTGTTACTACTTAACCTCTCTGTGCTTTAGTGACATCATCTGCAAAGAGAAGAATAACAGTATCTACCTCCCAGGGATGTTGTGAAAACAGAATGAGACGTTATTTCTAAAGCACCTTGTAAACCATAAGCAGCCATATAAATGTGAACTCAATAAATGTTATCGTCGTCTCCTTTCCCTCTGTCTTGTCTTCCCTCAGCAAAACATCCCCAGTCCCTTCAACTGCTTCTAATACAGTATGATGTCAAGGCCCTTTACCATCTGGTTGCTTTCCAAATATTTTATGGATTATCAGTGTCCTTCCAAAAATTGTGCTTGGAATTGAAACTACAAAGTTTAGGATTAAGGAAAATAATAAATTATTTGTACTCCAAATACTGTGCATTTATTTAAAAGTAAAGTTTCTGATATTCTTTTTAGCTGAATTTCTATAATTTCTGAATATTCTATATTTCTATATATTCTATGTTTCCATCTATATTTCAGTTAGATCGTAGAGTTAGCTGGAAGGGACCATAAAAATCTTACAGTTAGAACTAAGACCAGAAGATAGTAGATAGTCAGGATTCAAGCCCAGAACATCTGACATCAAATTCAATGTTCTTTCTGCTGTCCCATTCTGCCTAAAACTTAATCAATTTCACAAGCTAAATAAAGTTGTAAAACTTAGTGTCCCAAATAACCCAACACCAATACTTAACCAGCTATAGAACTTGGGGCAAGTTAGATAACCTCTTTTGAGCCTCAGCATACTCATCTTCAGAATGGGGATGATATATGTACTACCTACCTCACAATATTATAAGGAAAGAACTTTGTATGCCTTTCAAAGCCTGAGAAATGTGAGTTAATTATTATTGGGTGGTTGGATTTTTTGTTTTTTGCTATATTAAAATGTGGAAACAAGACCAATGACTCAGTTTAAGTTAGGGTACACTAGTTCACAAGGTATTTTCCCCAAAATTTTCAAATTTTCACTTATTAGCCCTTGAGAGTAGAGATTCTACCATGATTAATTAATCCTATTCAATGTTATATTTAGTGTTAGATTTGGGTTCAAGATGACCTGATTTCAAGTCCTCAGACACTAGCTAAGTTTTTAGGCACATCATTTTAACTTCTTTGACTTTTAGTTTATTCACTAATAAAATGGAAATTGTAGCATCCATCTCATAAGATTTTTATAAGGATTGATTGAGATAATTTATCTAGTGCTTTAAAAATCTTAAAGGGGGATCAACAGTTCAAATGGAATTGAGTAGTAAAGTATTCATTTCCATCTGTGAACTTCAGTAATATTGTATATTAGAGCATTTAACACTTTATACCTTATGTTTTTTTTTTTCTTACCAACCTTACTAGACTATAAGCTCCTTGAAATCAAGCATAATGTATTCATCTTTGTGTTCACCGCAAAGGGATCACAGTGCCTTAGACATAATGGAGACAGGAAACATTTATTGAATAATGCCCACATTAATATCCAAGTTCCCTAAACAGTGAGCTCCTGTTTTTTTCTTTTTATCAAAGATCACAATATGCAAGTGTTAGAAAGGGTCTCAGAAGCCAGCTAGTCTAACCTATATTTGAGCAAGAATCCCCTGTATAACATATTACATATTCAACACAATTCATTTTACAATTCAAGACTATGTAAGACAAACTAAAGAGAAATGTTCTTTACCATCTAGAACTTGTTAGTAGATGCTATGAACATGTACTGTAATTAGTATACCCTAGTGGATATTATCACTGATGTATTTAGGTAGGATCTCATAACACTTTACAGCAGAAGGGACCATCACATCGTGGCTGTAATTTCATCTCCCACCAAAACAGTCATTGTTCTATTAC